TATATTGTCATTTTTTATGTTAGACTACAATTTCAGAGCAGATATGATAGATCAAAAAACAGGATAAATGTATGCATAGGCATTGGCTAAAACTACATACAGTTTTCCTATTGTTTTTTTCCTTTATACACACATATATATATATATATATATATATATATGAAAAGAAAGAACAGTAAGATATATAATCCGGTGTTCTTATAGATATTTTTATTTTTACAAAATAGTGCTCAATGTAAATTTACAGAGCATTAATATTATAAATTGATTTATTTAAAATATTGTTTTTTTTTTGCTACACAGTTCTAACCATATTTCAAAAATGGAAGCTAAAAGCTACAAATTTAATTTTGTAATTAAATTAAAGACATTAGTTCCATTTCATCCACAAGCGAATTTTGGAGTAACCTTTTAAAATTACTGGGTTTTAAAGACACAGCTAAAATCATAATTCACATTTCCAAGGTTACAGATAAATCTACTTCAACTGGACAAGGGGTGTCTGCGTGTTCATTATGTCTGTATTATTGTATCCGTTATTAGTTACGTTTTGGTAGGGGGTAGGAATGTATTTTTCAATGAAATCTAACATCCGTTGAATACATGTCGTCTGGATTTTTAAAAAAAATTTATTGTTAACGGCAAAAATTCTTACAGCATTTTTTTCTATTTGTATATTTAAAGATTTTTGGGGGTGTTTAGGTTAGAATACGTTTTATTTAACTACGATTTGAAATATTTTCATTTTTAATTTTTATTATACTATATTTTTTAATGTATTAGAATCCCTTATAGTATGTAGAATTATTTTTACATCAAGTATAAGTATGTATATTAGGTTTCAAAATTTTTTTTTTTTTGTATTTAAATATTATTTAAGTAAAATTTATGACAATGACGGCAAAAATAGTTACTTAATTTCACTGATTTAGTAAACTTTTATTTTTTATATAAACCTAGTAATATATTGTTTCTCATGTAAGTACAAAAGACATGGGTCATTCAAAAGCTTACATCTTGTGGCATTTCATATTAATTTTATTTTACTGTAGGTGTTTTATTGGATTCTTTTAAGTGCGTGTAGTACTAAGTAAAAGAAGTTTAGGTTAGAATTCATTTTATTTAACTACAATTTTAATTACAACTTTAAAATATTTTCATTGTTAGTTTTAATAGACTATATTACTTTATAATAGAAGGAAATGTATTAGAATTACTTATAGTAAGTAAAATTATTTTTCCATATCAAGTATATGTATATTACGATTTTTAAACTTTTATATTTAAATATTATTTAAGTAATATTTATGGCACTTACTTCAAAAATAGCTAATTCATTTCTCTGATCTCTTTATTTATTTATTTATTTATTTTGTTTTATATATATAAACTTAGTAATATATAGTTTCACATGTATGTACAAAGGACATGGGTCATTCAATGGCCTACATCATCTAGCTTTTCGTTATAATTTCATTTTTCAGTAGGTGTTTTATTGGATTCATTTAAGTGCCGGTAGTACTTTTTGAGAGGTGTTTAGGTTAGAATACATTTTCTTTAACTACAATTTCAAAAGATGTTTAGGTTAGAATTTGTTTTAACTACAATTTTAAATACAACTTTAAAATATTTTCACTGATAGTTTAATAGACTTTCTTTTTTTTTTTTCCATAAAGAAAAAACAGGTGAATGTAATAGAATTACTTACAGTATATAAAATTATTTTTCTATGTTAAATATAAGTATGTATATTACCTGATCGCACCTCTTTAAATTTATTTTTATTTTAAATTTTATTTATTTTTATTTTTATTTTTTTTAAAAATTTTATTTATTTTTATTTATTTAATTTATTTTTTATTTTAAATTTTATATATTTTTATTTTTATTTTAAATTTTTAAATATTAAAATATATATATATATATATATATATATTATTTAATTATATATATATATATATTTATTAAAGACATTTTATATTTTAACGTTCTTTTTTTATAGATACAAGTATTTAAGTAAATGCTCTGTTTATAATAAACAGTATTAAATAACATTTACCGGCCTGAATGTCCGAGAAATTTTCATAGAAAATATTTGTCCTTTGACAGGATTCATACTTGCATCCTATACGGAACCGTCATTTACGCTGACGTGCCTTAACCGACTCGGCCACAAAGGAGCGTTAAGTAGGCAAGGTCGAATTTACTGCTTATAAACTTGACTACCGAGTCTGTTAAGGCACGTCAGCGTAAATGACGGTTCCTATCTATCTATCTATTTATCTATCTATATATATATATATATAGATAGATATAGAATATATATATTGTTTAATTACATATATATTTTTATATTATTTAATTATATATATATATATATATACAGATAATTAATGTAATAATATATATATATATATATATATATATAGATAGATAGATAGTTAAATATATATACATATATATAATCAAATAATATATATGTATATATAATTAAACAATATATATAAGTTAATAATATATATATATATACATATATAATTAAATACTAAATGAAAAGAAAGTTTGCATATTTCATTTAATTTCCAATACACTTGATTTTTTCCTTACTTCTCCTCCCCATCACCTTTTACCACACCTCATGTTGTGCACTTATTCATTTACTTCTTTATTTATTTTTTTTTTTAAATATAGTGTTCATAATTTTTTTTATTTTTAACAAATAAAGTGTTAGGAAATCAATTGACCAAAATTGCCTGAAGATACCAAAATGTTGAAATTTATTTTATTTAATAATATATTTATATAATTATGTAATATAACATATATATATTTATATATATATATATATATATATATATATATATATATATATATATATATATAATATTAGTGGTAAATATACATACATATTATAGTTTTTTTTCTGTTTTTTTTTTTTGAATTTGTAGGTTTGATGAATTGAATCGTATTTACGACTCCAATGGAATAAATTATGACCATGGAATATTAGTGTTTAAGCCTTTTTTTATATATATATATATATATATATATATATATATATATATATATATATATATATATATACTGAGCTGTTCTGAATCTGTACTGTTTGTTACTGAAAAGGTTGTCGCTATTGAAGCAATTAACAATATTCTCGTTGATTATAATTTCAAAAAGTTTGCTAATGACACTGAGGCATTTGATGGTTTTATACTGACATAGAAATGAGTGCATTCTCGAAAATAGGACAATCCACTTGACACCCTTCCACAGACTTAGGAAGGATTTCTCCTTCAAGCAGCAGTTAAATAATTTCCCTGAGATCAGGGATAACTCTGGGTTAATATTCTTAAGGATAACTACTGAGATTTCATCTGGACTAGTAGCCTTCTGAAGATCAAGCCTTTTTATAATTCTTGGGCTGTAATAAAAAAAATTACTGAAATAGTGCACAGTGAGATAGGGGAAATTGGAAAGGAGATGGCCTTTATCATATAATGTTGAGTTAGCGGCAAAGATTGTTGTGAAGAGTTTTGCCTTATCCAATGAGGATGAGATGACCTCAGGGTCATTCATAATAGTAGGCACTGATACTTTCCTTCTATTCAGAATTTGGTTGGAGATCTTTCAGAACTCTCAGCATGCAAGTTATTTGAATTTTACGTAGGCCTGGACTGCGTAGGCATAGCTACATTTTGCATTTTCAAGAACTCTCTTGCATTGATTGCAAGCAGTTTTGAATGCAGCAAATATCCCACTACACTGTTCTCTGGGATAGATACTCTAGTAGTGGTTAGGGTAAGCTATGCATGCAGCAGATTCTCAGGTGAACCAGGGCTGGCTGTTTGGTTTTTGTTGGAATTTTTTCTGGAGTATAAAACTCTCAATTCCAGAAAGGATCCATTCCAATATGAGGGTGAGCAGAAATTTTGAAGAAGGTTAAGAGAGGAGCTTCTGCCATGTAAGATTTGAAGCTATCCTAGTCAGCTTTAGTGTACCAAAAAATGATAAAACTTGAGTGAAGAATTTCTCAGGGAAGTGAGGAAAAGGTCAATTAGGTTTTCCTGATGTTCCAATGCATGGGTGAGTTCTTCAATGATTTGTGTTAGTCCATAAGTGATGAAGAAGTCTCTGCAGTACCTGCTTTCTTCATCAGTTTTATTTGAGTGAACTAACCACTCTTTGTGAAGAATATTGAAGTCACCAGATATATGAAATCTAGCTGAGGTATATTCAGTGAAAATATTATCAATCATGTTAGTTATTCGATCAAACATTACAGTTCCATTATCCTGAGGATTATAGAGTGTTAAAATGAAATTGGTATTGTAGATAAGTTCCATGCAGATGCACATATACAGGAGATCAGGGTATTCATTTCTTTTGGTCTCTGCCATATGTAAACCTGACCTTAATATAGGTGCCAAATCTGTGACTGGAGATATTGATGGTCATGTTTAGCTATTAGAGGTGAGTAGCCAGGGATTACATGTTCTGCACTGGAATAAAGGTATCAATACCATACAAAGATGATGATACAAATGATTAATTCAAACATATACTGCTTCCAATTAGATCATGTGAAGGCATCAATCAATGAAAAGTGTTTGAAATTAGTCAGGAGCATAGTATTCTATGAGAATAATAATGCTAGATCACCAAATGATTTTGTTTGTAAAAAGGCAAAAATTCTTATAGCTTTCATGAGAAGTTTTGCCTTATACTTATACATATATTGCAACTTTAAATTATCATTTACTGTAGCTTTTACAGAATTCTTTTTATGAAAATAGTTTCGAAATATGAACATTCTATGGAATTAGTAAAAAAGATTGCTGAGAAAGGATAACAGTTTTTTGAATGAAGATGCTTAGATGATAGCAAAAGACAGTTGCACAAAGCAATAAAGATGGTGTTCAATAAAGTGATTATATAAAATGTAATTTCCCAAACAAATGATTTTTTCATTTATTCTTCCTCTCTTCTAATAACTCTCTTACCAATTTCTCTTGCAGCTTTTTGTTCTCTTCTGTCTTTTTTTCTTTTGCTGCTTTTTCTTTCTCTTCTTTCAATTCTTTGACATTGGATCGACGTTGAGCAAGAAGAACTTGAAGACTGGAACAAAGAAACTCATAATGAAATATAAAAATTAAAATGGATTTTTAAAATATTTTGATGTTTATTTACATAATCAGAAAAACCACAAACATATTGGGACAAATATTTTTACTAACCTTAAACTGTACAATTAGCCTAACAATTACAAATATAAGCAGCATGACAAGCAGTTACTGCTGTGAGTTAAAATTAACATAAGGCTAGAAGACTGTTAGTATAGACTTTAATACTGAGCAAATACACATGTTATGTACAAAAAAACATGGAGGTCTTTTAAGGAGACTTTCATCTAATTGGAAGGGGGGATAATTAGGTGTCTTTTTGTGATACAGCATAGTATCAGACAGGGGTAGGAATAAACTAAGTGGGGGTGATAATTTAATTTACAACAGTGGTTATCAGTGAATTACAATACTGAAGAGGCCTTTCCTCAGAAGAAATGCTAGGTAACAAGACATATCTTGAAGCAGACTATGATGTAAGAAAAGGTGGTTTTATGTCATAAAGTACCTCTCAAAATAATTCACATTATACCACTGTTTCAGTTAACTTTTTATCATGATTCAATATAACATAATAATCAATATGTTGGGTTAGTGAAAAAGGTTATCTCCCCCTATATAGAAGTAGAAAACCATGTGACTTTATGACAGTTATCAAGATTCATGGACTGGAATAAGGGACAGGCACTCACACAAGACATGGGACCTGTACCTAGGCCAAAGGACCAGCTCTAGATAAAGGGAATCACAGACCTGTTCTGATGAAATGGATACCTGTTATCTGTGTGAGCAACAGACCTCTCTGGTAAGTCATGCTACAAACTCTATGTAGGGGACGACAATGTCTGTATTAGTTTTTCTAATAATAATAAATATTGTTATTGTTATAACTTTTCCTTAAATTATACATGCCAACACTGGTGACCGCCAACTTATAAAAGAAAAAATGCTGAAACACATAAAATATTAACAGTGGTAAATACAACATGTAAATATTCAACATTTTAAGTAATGGAATCCGACATACATGATATTTGAAAATTTGACTATTTCAAGTTACTAACTTAGTAAAAACAATTTCCTAATCTTGGTAGTTATGCCCTATTTTAAGAAATATTCAATGCCAAATTTCCTTGAGTTAGAACTAATAACAAAAAAGAAAATAATATAATGTATATATATTTCTATTTTTACTAGTTAAATTTTAAAAGAATTGTGTTTTACACACATAAAACATATCTTCATAAAAAGTTGTATATATGTTAGAAAATACATTTTTTTCACACACATGGTATTTAAAATTTTGATATAGCCACATGGGTTTTCTTCTTTGCTTTCCTCAAAATTAATGCCTAGATTGATGTCACACTGTCACACCTCCCTGCATTGTATTTCATCTTGGTCCCTTTATTTCACATCACATCAGATTTCTTGCAACAGTTTTAGTATGTGATGATATTTTTTAAAAAACAGTTTTTTTTATTGAACTCCTCTCCTTTAAAAAAATAATAAAATAATATGGACCGTGTGAATATTTCTCTCTATTTTGACCCTGACTTATAAAAACGGATTTGCAATAAAAGGAATTACCTGCCAAAATGAGAAGTTCACACACATGGTTTTTATGATCCTGGGCAAGATTGCAAAGGGTGTTCAGAACATAATTATAAAATCACTGACTGGAAATTCCTTTGGGGTATTAAAAAAAGGAGATAATAAGTTGGGCTACAGTTTTTGAGCAAAAAAAGATTGCCCAACTGTTATCTGAAGAAAAACTGGGTTAGCAAAACCCTATCGACCTATCACTTTCTGAGGAGGTTAAAAGAACTACTAAGAAATTATAGTGGAGATAATTTGGTACATATTTTTGAGCATATTACCAGAGACATGGCAACTGGTGCTAGTTGCTGTTGGTAGTGGCCAGTCTCTCCAAAAATTAGCTGATGCTGCAGATAAAATGGCAGAAATAATGCCAAAATAGAGCAATTAACCATGTACATGCCTTGGGACCAGATTCCTTAGAAAAACTAATTCAACAAAATATGAAAATATCTGAGAAGTTGGACACCCTACTAAACTGGTAAAATGTTTTACCTTGCTTTTCACCACCCATGGATGATATTTCCAAAGCTAGTAATGGTCAGAGTTATTCCAAATCTATAGCCAGTCAAAACAGAGAAATGATGATAAACCCTCCACATGCTATCTCCATTGGGGACATGAGCATAAGGCAAGTTCATGTTACTCTCTGTGCAATTTTCAGAGTTCAGAAAACTTGAAGCTAGCACCCTTCTGCGACTATGGGTTCCAGTGGTATAACAAAACTCACCTCTTGTATATTTATGACAACTCTATGAGTTTCAAATTTTTAGTAGACAGTAGTGTAAAAATATCATTATTGCCTGCTAATATACATAGACATAATGGAGTTGATAAATAAACCATACAAGCAGTAAATAATCTGTTATTAAAACTTATGGCCAGAAGTATATTAAACTTGATTTAGGCCTGAGGAGAGATTTTGGTTGGTTTTTCATTTTCATAGATATTGACAAACCAATTTTAGGGGCTGATTTTCTCAACTATTATGGTTTATTGATAGATATCAAAAAATGTTGCCTTAGTGACCCCTAACTAATCTAGATATTAAAGAAGTGGTCCATAATATTTTTTCTACCTCATCTTCTTTGTACATTATACAGAACTTTTAAAGAAATTTCCTGATATTGTGAAACCAAATTTTCACAAACATCATTGTGGTCACAGTGTAACTCATCATATTGTCACTAATGGTCCACCTATTCATGCAAAACCCAGACGTTTGACACCAGATAAACTCAAATATGCTAAAGAGGAATTTAGTCAAATGATGCAGCTAGGCATCATTAGCCCCTGAAGTAATAACTGGGCTTCACCCTTGCATTTAGTTCTGAAAGAAAATATGGCGTGCTTGTAGTGACTATTGAGCACTTAATGATATCACCAGACCAAATAGGTATCCTACCCTGCATATCCACAATGTCACCACAATTATACAAGGTAAATCCATTTTTTCCAAAATAGATTTGATTAGGGCATACAACCAATGTGTATTGAACCAGCAGATATGCCCAAAACTGCTGTAAATACTCTGTTTGGTCTGTATAAGTTTCAGCATCTACATTTTGGTCTTCATAATTGTTATGGGACCTTACCCATAATAACATAATGGACTATTCCATATGTAATAAATACTGTGCCTCAAGACGAAGCAGAGAGTTCAGTCAGAAGTCTGGAGTGAAGTCCGTCAGGAGTCTGTCAGTCAGAGCAAGCAAGTCAGACAGTCGAGTCAGAGGCAGTCTGAAACAGAGTCGTGTTCAGACAATTACTACAGGACATTGGAATACTGATACTGGTCGAGACTACATTGTTCTCCCTACTAAAGCTGATTGTTCGTACTAACAATTTCTACTTCTCTGTATATATTCCTGTTTGTAATATATCTGTGTTATTCCATATACGTGTTCGAGTTCTTTATTGGACTATCACCGTGGTACAAGGAACTGGATCATAACAATAATGCTGGTCAAACCTTCCAAAGATTTATCACCATATTTTACATGGTTTGGATTTTTCATGTGCTTGGCACAAAAACATCTTGGTGCCAAGTTATTCAAAGGATGAACACATGAAACATCTAAAAATAATTTCTGAAAGATTAAGCTAACTTGGGGTTGTAATAAATCTAAGTAAATATGAAATTGGCAATGCAACTGGCATTTTTCCTTCTCTCACTAAGACTAAAGCCCTACCACAATTTCCAATGTCCACTAATATGAAAAGTTTGTGACAATTTCTAGGTATGGTAAATTTTTATCACCATTTTATACCTAACTGTGCAAGAATCATCCAACTTCTCACAAATCTTCTTAATAATGTAAAAACTTGTAAGTGTCAGGTGATGCACTGACTGCTTTTAGTAATATTAAAGCAGTTCCATCAAAAATTATTGAATTGACACATGTCTTTCCCAATGTAGATTTGTGTTTAGCAGTTGACACCAACACTGTAGGAGTTGCAACAGACAGTTTCCAGTTTTTGGAAACCTATTTTATCCTTTCCAAAAGTTTAATCAGTACCCAGCATAGATGCAGCACATTTAGAAGAGAACTCTATTTTGTTTAGACAGCTGTTCATCATATAAAGCATTTTCTGGAAGGGAGACATTTATATATTTTGATGTACCACAAACCACTTGGTGCATTCCATTCAGGCTCTGAAAAATATTTGCCAAGAGAACTATGACACTTGAACTATTTGCTACAGTTTACCTCTTGCATAAGACACTTGAATGGAGTTGATAACACATACCAACAGATACAATGTCCAGAGCTATCAATGGTATTTTGTTAGATTTGTGTACAGTGACAGTAGTATCTGAAAGATCAGCAACTTCTCACAGATAATACTTCTTCACTCAATTTAATGAAGATGTGTCCCCCAAAAGCAAACTAGATGTTGTATATGACACCAGTACTGGAAAAATATGTCCTTTTATACCTGGGTCATTGTGATGCACCTTTTTCTTCAATCTACATAACCTATCTCACCTTGGTGCTAATGCATCCATCAAACTAGTCACAGACAGATATGTGTGGCCTGATATGAAGTCACGTATCTGGCTGTGGTCAAGGTCTTGCATACAGTGTCAAAAAATAAAAGTTGAGAGACACATGTGAAGACCTGTTGATCCCTTCCCATTTCCAGATGAATGATTTGAATATATGCACATTGACAGTACAGCTCTCAACACACCTCAACAGATATGTATATTCCCACACAGGGGATATACATATCTTTTGAGGTGTGTTAATTGTTTTTCGCATTGTTGCAAAGTCCTTCCAATGGCATATATTAATGCCCATACCATGGCAAAATCATTTATCTCAGGATAGGTGTCCCAGGTTGGCATCCCAGTTGTCATTTTCTTAGACAGAGGGTGGTAGTTTGAATTTATTTATTTATTTGGTGCATTCATGAAACTTTTGGGAAGTAAATGAATTTACACAACTGCATACCATCTGCAATTGAATGGCCTGGTAGAACAATTCCATTGCAGTTTAAAATCCACTTTGAGGGCTGTGCTGAATCAATTGTTTTTGGCTAGAAAACTTATCCCTAGTCCTGTTAAGGACTTCATACTGCAGTGAAGGAGGATGTCCAATGTTCATCTGCTGAGATGGTGTATGGCACCATTCTTACATTTCTTGGACAATTTTTATTTCCATCTCCACTGAAGTTCCTTGCTAATTCATACTGTTTTATAATATTTTGAAAAGTTTTGTACACTAGTGACTGTCATGTATAAATTATGAACTGATATGTTGAGTTTTGCTTGTTTCAAACAAATTTTAAGAAGACTGCATTGCACAAATTATTCAAGGCTTTGGTTGTAGCCCAGTTTAAGCATTGAAAATAAGATAAATCTTTTTTAACTAGTTGCAATGAAAACTGCGAGTGAAATATAAAGAATTCAAATGGCTACTAACTTTTGTTCTTGTTTAATGCGAGTTGTTTCCAGGTGATTGCTAAGTTCTTGCATTTTCTGTTTATGGATTTTCAGAAATTCTTCTTTCTTTCTGAAATACAAAGAAAATTCAGTGTGATATCTCCCAATTCCCACTTTTACCTTGAAAACTTTGGATTACTTGAATAAAGTTATTTTCCTTTGATTTTATTTTCCATATTTAAGTTTGTAAAGAGCAATGTGAATTTAGGTTAATATCAAAAACTTTGAAATAGAACCTAAATCAGAAAACTTTTAGAAAACTAAAGATTATAAAATACTTATAAATATTACACAATATCTTGTTACAAAGCATTAGAGATACTAGGGCTAATTTTTCCAATTAAGGGTAGATTATAGTCTGCATGAAGTTAATTCTAACTGCAAATATAATGTTTATTCAGTGTAATTTTTCTAGCACAAGTAGTAATCAAGTCAGGCATCAACCCAGTTTTGCAATACTGGCTTCTGAACTGTTGTTTTATTGCAGACCTCAGGATTCAAACCATTTACAAAATAGTTTATTAAAACACCCCATATTTATTTAAATATGCACAGTGAAAGTAGTTTTACAGACAACTATATTTGTTTTTAATTGGCTAGAAAAGTAAATGGAAATTTCCATTATGAAATTATTTTTTCATTTCCTTTTCTCAAATTTATAATTGAATAACAAGAGTATTGAATATATATACAGATTAATTTTTAATTTTTTTACAACAGATTGTTACTTACTCTTCATCTATGTTTGCATTGTTTTCAAGCATTTTTGTCATAATTGATTCCTGTTCATTGAAAATTGCCACTTGTTCAGCTTCAGCCATATGTTTACGTTCTTTTTGTTCCTGAAAATATAGGTTAATTTATAAATGATGAAAATTTGTGGTAATAAAGTGAAACCATTGATAAAGCAAATTTCAGTGTATTGATTAGACTTATCTACTTGTCAGAACAAACTTTAGAGTACTGTGTTCATTAAAAAAATCATTAATAAAAGAAATAAAACATAGAATGGTTTAGAAAAAAAAAATTTTCCCTGAGGCAAGCATATCGACAGGTGTTTTTTTTTTTTTTACTAATTTTCATGTGGTGAATTCAAATTTCTGAATAGTTTTGCTCTATTGCCTCTAGTTTTTTTTGCTGTCACATATTACATTTTCATTATACTGCATATAAATTCAAAATATAATGCATTTATTTTATGTATCACAAAGGCATATTGCAAAAGAACACAGGGCAATGACAGAACTAAATTACTTGAATAATACCATTCATACACATCATAGTACAGCAGACAGTCAGAAGTGAGTTTTTTGAATGATCTTGTATATTTTGTATCTGGTAAAAGTCTCCCATCATACTGGTTTTCCACTTGGTAGTTTCTTTTCATCTTAGTAATATCTTCAAACCTTTCTCCATGCTTATCACTCACTGCTCTGTGATTCAAAGGGAAGAAGTTAAAGTGGTAGTGCCTGTAATAACTTTTTAATTCACTCTTGGTAATCTGGTACCAAGGAAACCATGGCAGACTGATTTAAATGATTCCTATGTTCACAGTTCATTTAACATAAGAAGCTCTTCAGTAGCACAACCTGTTTTCCATGTCAAAGAATGAGGCAAAGTTCTTGTTTTGTGTCCTGAAACTGGTGATCCTTATATATGCCATGACCAGGTTCCACTGCATGAGCTGAGATTCCAGGAGTTCTAACTGGTGCTTAGATAGGTACAAATCACTGGTAAAGTCATTCAGATCTTCCTGAGTAAATTAAAAACATTCTAGGCCAGATCCACAATCCTGAAGTTTTTGATTTCCTGTGATTGTTTTGGCAATTTTTTTACATGATGTTTTGCGACAAATTTTTTTGTATAATAACAATTTTTATAATTTGGAAATAAATTCAGGAATGATTAAAATTAATTATGAAATCCAGCAAAAGTAACCCATGAAATAAGAATAATTGTTTGTATGGAAATTAAGGACCTACATACATCAAATTGTCTTTAAGTGGTGGCAGAAGAATTATCATTGAACTTTTAAAAGGTAAGCTTAAATGTTAACATAATGCTTAAATGCAGTGATCAATATTGACTGCTTCTGTAGTTTATTGTTCCATATCGCATCTATTCCTCCCTACCTATTGTGATGAAGAGCCCTCAACAGGAGTTAGCTTAAATTCCACTCAATAGGGCAGCTTTTAAGCTAGCACACACACACACACACACACACACACACACACACACACACACACACACACACACACACACACACACACACATATTATAGAAAACGGATTTCATATCTGAAATTAGCACCCCACAATTAGCTTAGAAAACCTAGTTTTATGCTTGCCTAAATTTCTTTGTAAGCCAGTATAACACTATGAAACATTTATGCATCATAATAGCACTTGTGAAGAAAATAGGTTTAGTATCAACATAATAGCCAAGAGAAGATATGCCCAATAGATCTGAGAGCAACAAACAGACATTATAGCCAACCTCAAAATGGTACTTACATGTCAATCAAATATCAAATATTAGACAGAACCCAACTGGTAAATAGAAAGGTCTGACATAATAGAAGTCCTCCTGTTGAAAAAAATTTTTTTTATAATCATTTCACCCCCAAGCAAGGAAATAAAGCCACTAAGATGCAAGGGGTTAGTGAGTGTTAGAGAATATGTGGAAAAACATCATTAAGGAATGACAACAGGAAAGCAAGAAGCCAGAAAATATTTCCACAAGTGAGAAGTGCGAGAGAAGAAACTGTTAGAATAGAACTTACTGTTACATCTAGCCATTTCAACTGTAAAATGATGAGATCTTGTTGCCAATCTAATACTAGGCTTAAATTCAGAGGGTCTAGGTACCACAGAGCAAAGTCCATCTGAATAATTACCATGAAAAATGAGATATTTACTATGTGAAGGTGGGTATTTCTAAATGTTTCACAAGGAGTGTAATGAAGCTACTACATGGTAGGAATTGGATTAGTAATGTTCATTCCTTAGCTATGCAAACTGATTGCAAATTTTGCTTAATTGTGCAATATTTAACTATTTCTTGAAGGATAAATATTTCCCAAACACGTGGAAGGAGGCAAGCATATGCCTGGTCTTCAAGTACATGAACAACTGATCCTCCCCATCCCAGTATAGACCTATTCATCTCCACAGTATCATCAGTAAGCTTTTTGAGGCCTTAATCAACAAGAAAACATTAACCGCCTAGATAGGAACAACCTCTTGTGTGATGAGCAGTATAGTTTTTGATCAGCCTGATCCATTGCTGACATACTAACTACCATTATATACAGAATTAGTGAGACCCCTGATGACACATATAATGTAAGGATCATAGCATTAGGTATCTCAAGGGCCTTTGAAAAGGTGTGGTACAAAAGTTTGCTACACAAACTCTCCAGCTATGGAATCACTAAAAATCCTTCCTAACAGGTAGATCCCTGAAAGTATTTATTAACCGCCAGTCCTCTGAGGCTCTGGCATTCAATGCAGGCATATCTCAGGGGTCACATCTTGGACCAACCCTCTTTCTGATTTGCATAAATGATCTACCTAAGAATATACTCTGATCTTTTGTAAACATCTATGCAGAAGATATGATGATATATTTGGTGCACCTCTAAAAATCTTGACAATCAGAGAATACTAGCTGACCTCTCTTCTAATCTATCACTAATTTCCCAGTGGGAAAAAAACTGGCTGGTTACATTCAATGTTTCTAAAACCAAACTAACCCTGAACTACTGCCAGCCTTGATGAATGGATGTCCCCTCATATAAACTACTCCTTATTGTAACCCTCTACCTCAAGTGGCCCCTAGTCCTTGTACAGAGTGAACCTTATTGTAAAAAAAATTCCCTGAACTGACTTATGCTTTGAAGGATAGAACGATCCACGACAGATGCAGACTGGTCTCTGGCATCCAGACATTGTCAAGAAAGGCATTATGCATTAGAGATGTTGTGTAAGTTGATTGAAGTGTTTGGCCTGACAAAGAGAGAGATTCACTCTTTTTGACCTTGGGTGTCTGGGTTAAAATACCTGACTTATGACAAGGCATCTTTCACCATTTTAGAATGGGCTCTGGATCAGAAAAAAGTCCTTTGCAGTGAGACTGGTTATTTTGCCAGAATGCATTTATTCCAGTGAAATGGTGGAATAAATTGAGCATGCCTTCTTCCACTGTGTTTACATACCTCTGTTGTGTTAACTTACTGAATTCTATATGGTACACATACTGTGTAGAAAATTCTTTGTCATGAAAGCTAGTTCAGTTTGTAGCAATGTGAGCTCATCATTGAACATAAAGAAACAATATCTATTAAGGAGCAAGAACAATGAAAGAACAGAAATTAAGAAGATAGACTGCATTTGAATTTTTGGAGATCAAACTTGATTGGAAAACAAGAAGATGAAAGAGAATTCTACAGGCCAGAAGTATGAGAAAAGAAACTGTTAGCACAGAAGTTACAGTTCTATCTAGCAGCCCTTTCAACAGTAAAATGTTTGCCACCAATCTAGTACTGCATTTAAATTCATTGAGTCTAGGTACCATAGAAGAAAGTTCATCTGAACAATTACCACTAAAGTATTTATAGAAAAGGCCTACAAGAAAGCTATTATGTGGGAAAGTGACTGAAGGTAAGATGTCAAGTCAGGACTTATGAATTTGCAGATTCTTCTTTTGGATTTTATCAAGGATCTCTAAATATATACCAAAAGTACCAAACCATATGTGCCAACAGCATTCTAAGCAAGGACAAATGGTTGACTTGTAAATATGTAAGATAGATTCATGTGAGAAAAATTGTTTAACATGACACAGAGAAACATCTTTCCTAGCTGACCTGGAAATTGATTCAGTATAATCTTTCCACTTCATGTCAGTGGAAAACGTTAGCCCAATGAGTCACTCTCGTGGAGGTTAGCATTAGCCATGCTGGTGGAAGGTAGAAAGATGATTAATAGACAGCTATTCCTTGCCACAGTTAACAACAGAAAGTAGTAGGTCATTTTTTAAAATCTGTTACCAATTTGACCTTGTCAAACCAATCAAATTTACTATTTTACTTTATTTCATTTTTATTTTTGTCATCGCCTCTTTTTTCATCCAGTTAACTTGTTTTTTTTGCCAAAAATTAGATTGTCAAAAGGCTGTCATACTAACACATTTTTCTTTATATATTTACTGTAAATAATTTTCATATTTATTTCTTTTCAAATCATGGTTATTTTTTAAAGAATGTAATTGTGCTTTTATTTCACTCCCCTCAGGAACTACAAATATGATTTGTAAATATGAATTTCATGGGAGGAAATTGTTTAATTGGGTCAATGAATGTGACTAGTATTCCGTTTAACAAAATAAATATTACATGAAAAGTTCATTTTCACTAATCAGTGTACATCAAGAATTAGGCAAGGGAGAGGAAGAGAAAGGCCCTAGTGAAAGAGGAGAAAGTGAGTGTTCAGTGTGGTATTATATATTTTTTCCACCTTGCTTTCTTTCAGAAGCAAGGTGACAGCCTAGAAACCCTATAACTTTGAATAAAAATCAGTATGAAAAGTTTTATATTGCAAGTATTGTATAGTAAGGTTTCAAATTGTCTTTAAATTGCTTAAGTTCTTCACTGGAATGCTGATGATTGCTAATTTCCTGTAAATCACAAAAAATTATTGTTACAGCATTAGCTGGCCTTGGTAAACAGTCTACAATGATATTTTCATGTCCTCTTATGTGAGGAATTTTTGTAATGTATTCACTTATAAAACTCAAATAACTGTTGTTTGTCAACAGCAAATAGCTAGTAAATGCACTACAC